CTCCATGATCTTAAAGGTCTTTTCCAACCCAAAAAAATTATCTGATTCTATTCTCTGATTCTATGTGAGATACCTGGCAGAAGGTTCTCCTGTAACACTTGCAGCTCCCAAACCTTCTCCAGACTTTGGGCTTGATCTCTCTTTTCTGACACCTTCATCTTGAAGGTCTGCTAGTGGCACGTCCCATCATCCAAGCTTTCAACATTCCCTTTTGAGGACATTTCACCGTGCCAGAAAGTTTGGAAGCTCAATCAGAGCTTTACTCTGCAAAGCAAGAGCAGCTCCAGCAAGGAGGTCACTTCCCCGGGGCTACTAGAAGGTCCATGGACAGCACTGATGGTTTCCAACCTCGTGTACCAACTTCTACGGTTGAAACCACGTCTGGAGGACCTCTTTCTCCAGCCTTTGGGAGAGATTTCCTCTGGACAGTAGCAACTGCGATGTCCTAAGTCAACCAGAATTAAGAAGCCCTTCTTGATAAGGGAGCTCAGAATTGCTCCAGAAGGAAGAGTTGCCCAGTTTTGGCTTCAAAATGACAATGGTCAAGAATCATTGCCTAGAAAAAATGGGGTAGGCAGGAAAAAAGAGGTTCATCTCCTTCCCCTTTCTGCAAGAAATCTTGTAGGAAGGGGAGGGGAAGAGAGGAGGACACCTTCAGCTTGATCTTGGTTTCTTCCTAGCAGGGTTTTGGCATAGTTAGGTCCTCAGCTTCTTCACCATTTCACCTGGCAAGCCATAAAAATAGTCCTCATGAAGGAAAACGGGGCGAGTGTTTGACCCCAACTGGTTCCTCAAGAGCAGGAACTACAAGATCCGAATTATCTAACGTGGAACGTTCTTTAAATGATGTTTTACTGTGAAATTTGAATTGTTTTTTCTGTTAAAACAATAAAGTTAGAGAGAAAACCAACTTTTTCTTTCTTTCTTTTTTTTCTTGGCAGTGACATCCAAACCAGGATCATCCACGGTACCCAACACCACCCAAGCATCGTCCCCGGCGCAGACGCCGGCGCCGCAACAAACCCTCCAGTCTGCGCAGACGACTCATTCCTTTCCTTCCGTCACCCCCGACCTTATCGTCCAGACCCCGGTCATGACGATGGTGCCTCCTCAACCTCCTGCGCCGCCTCCACCTGCTCCTCAGGCCCCCACGCCGCCGACCCCGGCTCCTCAACCCATCCAACCTCACCCTCCCGTTATCCCAACGCCCGCCCAGCCCGTGAAGGTGAGCGCTTCCTTAATTTATCTTAATGCCACGGCTTAAATTATCTTCGCAGAGTTTGGTCAAGTGGTTGCTCTTGACTTTGCTGCTGGAGTCACAGTTTGAAGGTGAACGGCCACAGTTTGGTCACAAAATTGATGGTTTGAGAAATGTGAGGAGGCTACGGTGACCTGTGACATCAGTTAAACGTGATGAGTTCCACCCAGGTCTGCGTGAAAACGTTTTTCATGCTCTTAAAACTGTCCTTCCTTGAGCTTTACGTGACTTGGGGAGGAAATCTTGACTTGCTGAAGTGACTCACGCCCTTGACCTTTGCTGGTACAACAAAGATAACCCACATTTTCTCCTTCAGAGCTCAGTACAAGTCAACAGTATCCAAATATTTTTGGAAGGGCTTCCAACATCCTTCTCGTACCGTTGCCTTGTGGTTCGAGTCACTAGCCGTGGCAAATCTGAGTCAACGCTACAAGAATCCCAACTCAGTTGAAGCCAGAATTATGATCCTCAAAGTAATAATTGTTTTATTACTCATAGACAAGAGGCTGAACATGAGCCAGCAGTGTGCCCAGGTGGCCAAGAAGGCCAACGGCATCCTGGCCTGCATCAAGAACAGTGTGGCCAGCAGGAGCAGGGAAGTGATCCTTCCCCTGTACTCTGCGTTAGTGAGGCCACACCTTGAGTACTGTGTTCAGCTCTGGGCCCCTCAGTTCAGGAAGGACATTGAGGTGCTGGAGCGGGTCCAGAGAAGAGCAACGAGGCTGGTGAAGGGACTTGAGCACAAGTCCTATGAGGAGAGGCTGAGGGAGCTGGGGTTGTTTAGTCTGGAGAAGAGAAGGCTTAGAGGTGACCTCATCACTCTCTTCAACTACCTGAAGGGAGGTTATAGCCAGGTGGGGGTTGGGATCTTCTCCCAGGCAACCAACAATAGGACAAGGGGGCATGGGCTCAAGCTCTGCCAGGGGAGGTTTAGGTTAGATGTTAGGAAGAAATTCTTTACAGAAAGGGTAATCAGGCACTGGAACGGCCTGCCCAGAGAGGTGGTGGATTCACCATCCCTGGAGGTTTTTAAAAAGAGATTGGACGTGGCCCTTAGTGCCATGATATAGTAATTGGAGTTGGATCAGGGGTTGGACTTGATGATCTTGGAGGTCTTTTCCAACCCAATCTATTCTATGATTCTATTTGCTTGATTATAGACAAAAAAAGGGGTGAAGAGGAAAGCGGACACCACGACACCGACAACCATCGACCCGATTCATGAATCGTCATCGTTACCCACCGAACCCAAGTCTACCAAGTTGGGGCCGCGGCGGGAAAGCAGCCGCCCGGTGAAACCCCCAAAGAAGGACGTTCCAGATTCTCAACAACACGTGGTAGAAAAAAGTAGCAAAATATCGGAGCAGTTAAAATACTGCAGCGGGATCATCAAAGAGATGTTCGCCAAGAAACACGCTGCCTACGCCTGGCCCTTCTACAAACCTGTGGATGTGGAAGCTCTGGGACTGCACGATTATTGCGATATCATTAAACATCCCATGGATCTGAGCACAATCAAAGTAAGCTCAGGTTTAGAGGAGAGGGGTGGGGAGGAGGTCAAGGTCTGAGCAATCAAACACAAAATAGATGATTTTCTCCCCGCGCGTGCACGCCAGGCATCTTCGGGTGTCAGATTCCTTTGGCCGTAGGTTTCTGGTACATTCAATCTTTTCTCTTTTCCTCTTGCTGTTATTGGGACATTTGGGAAAAACAACCAAGCTGGTGTCCTTCCCAAAGAGCTCTTAGCAAACGCTCGCACGGGGCTTTTGTAGAAAACTTCTGTTTCTGGATAAATCACCCTTTTTTTTAGCCCTGGAGATGGCCTCAGAGAGCGTAAACCACAGCAAGAAGGAGATTTGCTTGAAACCAACCTCCTTTTCAGTTCTTTTTAAAAATAAAGTCCCGTCTTTCTGAAGTTCTCTGGTCTTCATCTGTCTTCTCTTCAGCACAGGTAGTTCCCTCTAGTGAAAAATGTCTTCGTTTTAGAGAAGCAACTGCGAATTCATCCGCGGTTCCCCTTGAAATGTTCATTCACAATTTAAGAGTCTCAACTTTTTATCAGGGAAACCTTAATTTCTTATTTAGAAGTCTTGGACTTTTTAGTTATCTCACCTTAATTCACAATTTAGAAGTCTTGACTTTAACAAGGAACCTTCATCCCTTATTTAGAAGTCTGAAGACTTTGATATTACCAAACTTAAATCCATGATTTAGAAATCTTTGACATTATTGATCCTTAATTCATGATTTTAAAGTCTCTTAACTTTTCTGTTATCAAATGTTAATTCATTATTTAGAAGTCTTGGGTGTTATCAAACCTTAATTCATTAATTAGAATTCAGAATTTAGCTGGAAAACCTTCATTCCTTATTTAGAAGTCTTCAACTTTGATGTTATCAAACTTAAATCCATGATTTAGAAATCTTTGACATTGTTGAACCTTAATTCATGATTTTAAAGTCTCTTAACTTTTCCATTATCAAATGTTAATCATGATTTAGAAGTCTTGGGTGTTATCAAACCTTAATTCATTAATTAGAATTCAGAATTTAGCTAGGAACCCTTAATTTGTTATTTAGAAGTCTTTGACTTTGATGTTATCAAACCTTAATTCACGATTTAAAGTCTTAACTTTTTAGTTATCAAAGGTTAATTCGTGATTTAGTCGTCTAACTTTAGCTAAAAAGCCTTTATTCATGATTTAAAGTCTTTAACTTTGATGTTATCAAATATTAATTAATGATTTAGAAGTGTAAACTTAGCTAGAAAACCTTAATTCCTTACTTAGAAGTCTAACTTTGTAGTTATCAAGCCTGAATTCATGATGTAGAAGTCTGAACTTCAGCTTGGAAACTTTGGTTCCTTATTTAGAAGTCTTGAACTTTTTAGTTATTAAACCTAAATTCATGATTTAAGTCTTTGACATCCTCAAACCTAAATTCAGGATTTAAAGTCTTTAACTTTTTAATTACCAGACCTTAATTAATGATTCAAAAGTCTTTAACTTGGACGTTATCGAAGGTTAATTCGTGATTTAGACTTGGAACTTCAGCCAGAAAACCTTCTTTTAGATGTAGAAGTCTTCAACTTTGACATTCTCCAACCTAAATTCATGTTTCAGAGTCTTTAACCTTCCAGCTGAGCGCTGAACTCCTGAGCTGAACTCCTGTGTAGGCACTTGAAGCTCAGCTCTGTCTCCTGTGTTGCCCAGTTTGGGTCCACGTTTCGAAACCAAAAGAGTTGAGTTTTCCCTTCCTGCAGCCCACTCCTTGCCGAGGTCACACCAGGGTTGAAGAGCCCACTCCTTGCCAAGGTCACACCAGGGTTGAAGAGCCCACTCCTTGCCGAGGTCACACCAGGGTTGAAGCCAGGGAGGATCATGACACTTCCTTCCTTGCATCTGTAGGATTTTGGTGGGACAAACCTTGGGGACACCAAATTCTTGGCTTTTTTCCTTTCTCCTCCGGACTGGCCGGTGGGGAGCGTTCGGTCGCGCATATCCGTAGCTGCCCGTACCTCTCACTGCCCAGCTGTCTGGCGGGGTGGTTGTGTGTCTGAGGTCACCCTTGGCAGATGTTGCCAAGACACCTGTTGAGCGTTCTTTGTCTTCCAGTTGTTCAACTCTACTTCACTTTCCCAGGGGGTAGAAAGAAGCGTGAAGCTTCTCTTGGCTCAGCTGGTGTTGCCACAGCTGGATACAGCGTTCAGGGGGGATGAGGGGTCATCTCAAGGCTGTCTCCACCTGGATCAGTTGTCCCAGCTCCAAGTAGGCTTGGGACTGGAGCAGGTAGAGTAGGTCTGCACCCTCCTAGCATGGAGGTCCAAGCTCTAGAGACACTAGCTTGGTTCCTGGAGGAAGGACATATTGTTGTAAGCAGGTGAGATGGTTGGATCCTGTTCCTTGCATCAACAAAATCATCATCTTCCATTGTTGGGTGAAGGACCACCCTGGTGTCCTCTGTCCCTCTAACCAGGTTACGCCATTAAAAACTCTGGAGATCTTTCTTCTAGGGGAACTATCTGAGCAGAGCCCACCATATTCTCTTGCTAACACACGATCTCAGGTGCACACACAGGTTCAGCTCTTCTCAGTTGAGGTCAGGTTCATAGTCCTGACCTTCAACCCCACTCTTCAACACAGCGTCCCTCTTTGGTTCTTCATCTGATCCACACAGCTGCTGTCAACCATGTAGAGTCGCCTTCTGAACATCATTGAGGGTGCCCTTGCTCAGCTCTATTTTTTTATAAACCAGCTGGGGTCCTTCATTTGACCAAGATTAGTTGCTCTTTTCACCAAAATTACTTGTTCTGACCAATTAGCCATTCTTTTGACCCAAATTAACTGTTCTTTTGACCAAAATTAGCCATTCTTTTGACTATAGTTTCTCCTTTGACCAAAATCTGTCGTTCCTTTGACCAAAATCTGTCGTTCCTTTGACCAAAATCCATCATTCCTTCTTGACCAAAATCCGTCGTTCTTCTGACCAAAAATCTGTCGTCCTCTTGCCCAAAATCTGTCATTCTCTTGCCCAAAATCTCTTGTTCTTCTTGACCAAAAATCTGTTGTTCTCTTGCCCAAAATCTGTCGTTCCTTTGACCACAAGTTAGTCGCTCTCTTGACCAAAATTTGCCCCTTTTGTCTTTCTTTTGACCAAAATGAGTCATTCCACCGTAGGGAGAAAACGGGGGCGTGAAATCCGTGGGCACCACAGGGCTGGATTTACTCAATCAATTGATTTTATCTATTTTACAATTAATAGCAAAGAGTTTTGTTGTGGTTTGTTTTTTCCCCTCTCCTTTTTTAGTCTAAACTGGAGAACCGGGAATACCGAGATGCTCAGGAATTTGCGGCGGATGTACGATTGATGTTCTCCAACTGCTACAAGTACAACCCCGCTGACCACGAGGTGGTGGCCATGGCACGGAAACTGCAGGTAAGGACACGCGTTGTCGTGACCTCCTTCGCTTTTCAACATCTCTCTTGGCTTATTTTGAACGCTGGCCTCTCTCTTGATTTATTTTTCCAGCCTAAGGGCTACACAGTCATGAAATAACACCAAAAAAATGCCAAATGTGGTGGATAACGGTAAAAAAATGATACTTTTTGCTGTAAAGTGATGCGAGGAGTGAGGTGACTCAACCAGATTTGCTTCTCTCAACTCTTTTTTTCTTTAATAGCATCTTTTTCATGTCCACTTACCTTTTTGATAAAGGAGTAGGAAGGAAAAACGCAGCTTCAAAATGCCACATTTCTCCCCAAAAACACCCAAAAAGAAAATAATCAACAACACCTGCTTGGTTAGGCTTTTTTAATTACCTCTTCTTCATCCTCACACAATTATATCCACAATCTCAGGCAGTTAATTTCCTGAAATCAGCGTGGTTTGGTTGAATCTTCAGGAAACGGGTTGAGAAGGGACAGTGGAAGGAAGAGGAGAGACGGGGAAATAGGTTATGTGGGAGGAAAAAGCTGTTAAATTGGGGGAAAAACTATTAAATTGGGAGAAAAACTATTGGGGGAACTAGTAAATGTGGAGAAAAGCTATTAAATTTGGGGGAGAAAGCTACTAAAATGGGAGAAAACCTACTGAATTGGGGGGAAGAGCTGTTGAATTGGGGGGAAGCGGTTGAATTGGGGTGAAGCTATTAAATTGGGGGGGAAGCTACTTAATTGGGAGAGCTATTAAATTGGGGAAAAATATTGAATTGGGGGAAAAATCATTAAATTGAGGGGAAAGGCTGCTAAATTGGG